GTCACCATGACTCTGTTTCTGGAGGAAAATTTAAATTCTCATTTCAATTCTTTTCCAGTTGTCAAAAATCTGAATGAACGATATAAATTCTGCATCAGCATGTGCAAGAAACTTACAGAAAAGCTGAATCGCTTCTTCTCTGACAAACAGAGATTTATTGATGAAATCAACAGTGTAACAGCAGAGAAACTCATCTATAATTGTGCTGTAGAAATGGTAACCCTTTTTAAGGTGTAATATTGCGTAGTAATACTACTTGTTTTTAAGAGCACCTTTTGTTTTTTGTTTTTCTTGGCTGCGTTGGGTCTTCATTGCTGCGTGTGGGCTTTCTCCAGTTGCAGCGAGCGGGGGGCTACTCTTCGTTGCAGTGCGCGGGCTTCTCACTGCGGTGGCTTCTCATTGTTGCGGAGCACAGGCTCTAGAGCGCAGGCTCAGTAGTTGTGGCGCAGGGACTTAGGTGCTCCGCGGCATGTGGGATCTTCCTGGACCAGGGCTCGAACCCGTGTCCCCTGCATTGGCAGGCGGATTAACCACTGCACCACCAGGGAAGTTCCCTAAGAGCATCTTTTGAAGTGCACACCTACTTGACATCATCCTTTTAAAAAGAGTTTATGCCCCACCACTCCCAAGTCCCAGGTATTGTGGTACCTCTTCCTGAAGGAGTGATTACACTTAACATGCAACAAACATAAGTTATGTTGGTTACCTACCACATTTGGTAAAAGTTTACCATACCTCTTAAAAATTGCTAACATGAGGCGTGATCTAATCTTTTTCTAGTTTGCATCTAAGAGCTTTCACTGGATCTCTTTCTTCATTTTCTACTATTTAAGAAATTTGGCTTTGATAAAACATTACAAAAATACTGCTCTTATTACCCAATCTGCAGAAATTCACGTGCTCAGATTCCACAACTGACCTTACTTAAGTGTAGGCGCACAAAGTGTAATCTACTTTTCCAACTCTCTGGTTATATTAGTGGAAATAATTTGTTTTCTGTATCTTCGAGGAAAAATTGCTCTGAAGGAAACATGAAATTAGGGACTGTCAAAGAAGGAATTAAGTGGGGGAAAATTTAATTACTGACCAACCGTATAGTTTTTACCGTATTAACATAGTTGAGCTTCCTTTTCCCTCTCAAATTTGTGTACTTTGAATGGTACTGTTATATTACCCCCTTGGCCCTATTTTGAAAGCCATCATAATAAAAAGGCGTATGAAAATAGTTTTGGAATATAAACTGTTGGTGAGAATAATATACATTATATTGCCCTAAACTGTTGATATGAATAATATGCATTGTATTGTTTTGTACCGAATTAAGACTTCATAAGACAGATTTTCTTTTAGAAATTTGTGCCAGGAAAGACGTCCTCTCATACGGAGTTAGGGTGCTTCTGTCTCTTCTGATGATAGAGCCACGTGCCTCCAACAAGTCTCTCCTTGTGCCCTGGCTGCTGAACAAGCTTGGAGACACTCAACTTATATTTAGTTATTTCTCTCCTTCCTTTTCAGGACTTGGATTTTCTGTGTCCATTCTATTTATCATATTGTATGTGGCTTTACTCTTTGAAAGAGACAGAGCATACCGACAAGTAAATTAGGATACTGGATTACTGACAGTCTGGGCAGTGAATGATTAAAGAGAAAATCAGAATGCTGTTGGGGAAACAAATGCTCATAACCCCGTGAATGACACCATGCCCGTCTTTCTGGGGAGCCCTACCCACCTCTCCCCCTGCCCAGCTCGCTCCTGCTTCCTTATGGCTCTGCCTCAGCATCACTTCCTGGAGGCGCTCCCTAACCACTTCTTCCTCCATAGTCGGGTTAGATGCCTCTCGCGTGTGCTCCGTACCATCCGGGGCTTCCTCCTGTGATGCCAGGTACCCCTTGGAGTTCACAGCCCATGCCTCCCTCTGGACTGTGAGCTCACCTTCATCGTACGCTCTGGGCCAACACTCAGCAGGTGCCCAGTAAATACCTCTGAATGAATGAATCCCACACACCAGAAAATTCTGTAACTAAAAGGAAAGGCTGATAAGTGGCTTTTAACGTCATTTAATTATTTCATTGTAACAAGGTCTACATTAGTGAAATGCCAGGTTACTAGTGTGGAAGTGTATGTTTAAAATAAACTTTTTAGTGAAGTCATAGAAGAGCCAGTTTAGAAGTGTAAATATCATGAGTTAGGAATCTCTGAGTTCAAGAAGGTTATGTTTGAATGCAGAGTAACTCCTTTGTCAAGAAGCTCTTTTATGTCGCTCACCCAATAGATTATATCATTTTGTCAAAACGTATTAATTTTAGACAGATTCCATTTAAAGCTGCATTGCCTGAATGGATTCGTATTTTCATGGAAAAGCTGAGAATCTTCTTGTTTTTGCTGACTGGTTCCAGGTTCAGGCTGCAGCCCTGGATGAGATGTTCCAGCAGACTGAAGATATTGTTTATCGCTATCATAAGGCGGCCCTTCTTTTGGAAGGCTTAACTAAGATTCTCCAGGACCCGGCAGATATTGAAAATGTACACAAATGTGAGTTGACTTAGAAAGTAGTGTGCGTGTTGGCTGCGCTTTCATTGTCTCCTCCTGGTGCAGTAGACAGAGCATGGAGTTTGGAACCGTGCAGCCTGGGGTTGCATCTTGGCTTCCCAACCTTGGGCAAGTCACTCACCCTTTCTGTGGTCTCCGTCTCTTCTTCTACAGGATGAGGAGCAACGCCTGCCTTGCCGAGCTCTTGTGAGGGTTAGAGAGGTTGCTGGTACAGAGCTGTTGGCTTTTGTTATTAGTCTTTAGATTTCTACACTGCACGACTATTGGTGGGTGTGTTTGTGTATGCAGAGAACTTTGCTTTTATCATTAAACAATAAGAAAGGCAACTGTTTTAATCCTCGTTGGCCTAGTGACCGAAGAGCCCTGTGAAAACCCTGTGTACTGCAGATTTGGTGTACAGAACGGAGTGTGGACACTGGTAGGGTACCAGGATGGTGTTTCCACTTGTCAGATATAAGACCAGTGATGATTTTTTTTGAGGATGAGGTGTGGTCATACCACATTTTGAAGAGCCACAAGGGGCTGGCAGTTCTAAGATTGTTTGCAGTTGTGAGCAAACTAGCTGTTAAAACCTAAATGTTCTTCATTTGACGTGCTAATCTAGCTTTTACCACTGTGCAGCGCTAAGCTAGACAATTACCAGGCAGAAAGAAGAAAAAATACTCAGAACTGTTAACTCTGGGGCAAAGATAGAACAGAGGTGAGGGTGTAGGTGGAGAGTGAGAGATTCTTTTTCATTGGTTCTTCTTTCCTTGGTTTTGAAAATATAAATGATTTTTATTATGAATTTATTTTATTTCTAGATAAATCTCGTATTGAAAGGAGATTGTCGGCACTCTGCTACAGCACCTCGACCTTGTGAGCAGCAGCAGGCCTGCCCCCAGGACTAGTGGTGGGTGTGAGGCGATGCCTTTGGGAGCACAGCTTGGATCCTGTCGCCCCACCCCCAGGAAACTGTAGGTTCCTACACGGTGACCACCAAAGAGCAAGCAGTGATTTCAAAAAGGAAAAACAACCCCAGAACTACCTGCCTTATCAGAGAAGTCACCCCTTCCCTTTTTCTTTGTAGAAGCAGAAGCAAGAGTATTCCACTTGGCTTTCAGTTTGAACTTGGTAAATAAATGTACCTTAGAACTAGAGTTGTCAGTACAGTTATTCTTAAGGGTAATTAGGAATGAAACCATGAGTGGCTCTTCACGCCAGTCACCAGAGCAAATTGTGGGGTTCCACATGTTCACTGAGGCGAAAAAGTAAAAAGCCACATCTCATCCAGGCGGTTTGATACTCGGGGTAAGTTTATCTGAGGCTGAGCACGCGTCCATAAACAGCTCAGGAAGAAATAGCTTAAGAAGGAGTGAAAGGCGTCTCTTGGAAGAAATTGTGAAATCTTCAATTTGGTCTAATATGGACACATATTAATAATCTTCCAACATCTTTCATATTGCACTAATTTATTAAAACAACTGTGTACTGGATTTTGCAATTTAAAACTAACTGAGGCACAATGGACTTGTTTAAAATATTTTACTTGGTTATATACACGTACCCTTTCCAGAATTCACAGGTGAATTCTCGTGGACTTTTAAGTGGTAAAAAACTTGTGTTGTGTGAACCTTTGCATTTTCTTAACCTATTCATCTACACCTACAGGTTTTCTCAGTGATATTTTTAAGTTGCTCGTTGTCTGCTTTCGTTTGCATTTTTTACTGTGCATGCAGAATGTGCATTCATGCCTATGACCTCTAGGTTGACTAAAGGCTAGGTTTATCGGGGCAGAATTAGAACAAGTGTCAATCCAGAGATACTCTCAAGACTTGTAATAGGGCCAAAACAAAGTCGGTGACTTAAAGGCTTATTAGTGATGTGGAATTTTACATGAAGTTAGTGAAACATGAGGTTTGTTTTCTCTTAGGAAAATGGGCAGCTCTTTCCAGCCTGTGTGCAGTTTCATGTTAGTCCTGACAGTTCACCAGGTAGCTAGTCATGGAGAATGTGGGCACTTAACACCCCTCTAGAAATGGTGCCTACGTGGTAGATTATTTCGTTTCTCTTACTTACCTGCTTGAATACTTGAATAAACCATTCTCCAGTTTTAATCCTTTTAGATAATATAATCTGAACTCTGGCAAATTGCACAGAAGCTCTTTGGCATTAATTTAGTGTACTGATAAAAACAAAAACATGGTTTTTCTTTACTTTGACGAAGTAATGTAATTTTTACTTTATTTATCTGTATGAAATTCCAGCAGTTAATTTGAACATTTATTTATATGATGTTTATATTTTTAGGTCTTTAATACAGTGTTTCTACCTCTTATTTGTAACTGCATGCATTATTCATGAAACTAGGTAAAACTCACTGAATTGTTGTGTCATAGCCTTTTTATTATTGCCTGTACAGATGTATATTAAGGTAAATAAAACTGACCAGGAGTTGCTAGGGTGAGGCTGGGTCCCTGTGATGTGGCTTGTCAGGCCAGGTCCTTCCTCAGTGAGTTTGGAGCCTTGGTGGTTAACACCCGTCGCCCTGCCCCAGGGTTTCAGATGCTCGGTGACGGTCCTGCAGGCTGCCAGGAGCATGGGCTGTGTGGCGGCTTCCTGCCCTCCCTGCAGGGGCCGTAAGCACTGTCACTGGTGATACTCCATTTTGTGTGATTTTTTCGAGTGTAAAGGGCAGTTTCTTGTATGTTCTCTCAGTTACCGCCCGTGTCATCTCACCGATCCTCCGAGGGGGTGGGTACATTCCGGCCCCTCCTCCCCTGTCCCGCTTGTTTTTTAAACACAGGATGAAACAGGTTCACAGCGAGGAAGTGCTTGGTCTGCAGTCAGTACCTAGGGAAGTGGCCGGGCTGTGCTTTGTGACCTCCAAGTGCATTCTTCTGCTTCTTGTACGACAAAGGTCAGGTGATAGGAGGTATGTGTGAGACCGTGAAGTCTGAACAGCAGAGAACAAACTGTAAACTCGTGATTAATGGTTCTGATTATATTTCCATTATCAAGGCCAATTGTTTTAAGAGATTTTGCCTTGATTATAGCAATAATAAACATGCTTTATGTTTCCACGTGTATCTTTTGATTTTGTATCATCTATTTCATAAAAAAGAAAGAAACCAGCTCACACGTTCACGGGTTGACACTGGGGCTCCGGCGAGCCTGGAAGGTTGCGGGCGCACAGATGCACACAGGGCTAATCTGTGAGCGTGCCGAGTGGCTGTTCCTGCCGTGAGGATTTGCCTTAATGGCGCCTGCGCTGGGCCTGTGGGATGCTTCCCACATGCCCGTCTCCTCAAGGGGGGGCGTCCTTCTGCCCCTCCTGGGGTCCAGGAGAGGAGCCCAGAGAAGGGGTTACTGTTCGGGCCCGGTTGGTCGCCTCAGTCCCCACAGGTAATAGCGGGGGAGTCGAGCTGGGTACCGTGGGTGTGAAGTCACTGACTTGGCTCTAAAAAGCCCTTGAGGTGACGGAGGAAGACTTGCCGCTTGCACCGTGTGCCTCCTGTAGCTTCTGTGGGCAGTCCTCACTCCTGCGGGAGCAGAGCGCAGTTCTGTTGTTCCAGGGAGACTGGCTGCCGCCCGGAGAACTTGATGTCTTCCCTCCGTTGACGGGCGCAGCCTAGGAGCATCTGTATCCACCTCTGCACGCCGGGAGACAACTGACACTGGGTCCCGGGCCCTGGGTCTTCAGCCATGGAAGTCCTGGGCCCTGCCCGAGTCTCCGCCTTGTCTGTCACAACCCTGGCCAGAATGCTGGATTTGGGAGAGGGGTCAAGGTGTCATCGTCCTCACTGGAATCAGAGGAAGTCACATCAGAAGCGACCCGCCTGGGAAAGCACCACACGGTGGGAAACGACAGTCAGTCCCTAAAGTCTCGGTTTTTGTGGACGAGGCAGAGCCAAACAGGTGAAGGGTCACAGGGGTCAGTGCCCAGACTGCTGTGGAGGAGGGAGGCGAGGCTGGGAGCTGCCGACAGCACGGGCCCACGCAGAGCAGGGCACCTGGCAGAGCCTCCGGGTCCCCTTGCACAGAGGGCCTCGCTCTGCCGGTTGTGAACGTGCCGTCCTTTCTGAACAGCCTCCTGGCATGGATCTGAGCGGAGGCTGTGGCGGCGGTGGCTGAGCCCTGGGGCTTCCCCTCGCCCTCCTGCTCCCAGGCTGTCCTGTCTCTGAGGGTTTGCTCGCTGCAAGCTGTTCTCCATTTCCTTGGGTGCAGCTGTCTTGGTCTCGGACTCCTGTGCAGAGCGGTGCGTCCTTGGGCACTCTCCATCCCTAACCTCTCCACACCTGTCCGCGTCCGGCTCGGAGCTGGTCAGTGGTGGTGAGAACGGAATGAGTTACTGGGTGTGAGGTTGTCTGAACAGCCCCAGCCGTGGGCGGTGGGCAGCCTGCAGCTCCTCTCTGTTAGGCTTGGTTTGCGGCGAGGCCCAGTTTCAGGCTCTGTCTGGACACCTTCTGAAAGGACCAGCCCCGCCGCCGTGGCCGAGCCCTGGGCACCTGCTTGCAGACGTCCTTTCTCTGTGGATTGATCTGACCCTTGTAGTTCAAGGTTTGTGGCAATCTAATATTTATTACTTCATTAGATCTTTGTACCAACCGTCATTGGCCTCATTTCACAGATGGAAAAGGCAGACCTGGCAAATGATTTCCAAAGAGAAAAATGCCAGGGCTGGGGTTTGGCCAGCCAGGCTGCTGGGCAGGGCCTGGGCCCACGAGCTGCTCATCCCACACACGTGCCTGGAGCCCCAGCCCTGCTCACCCCTCGGCCTTCCAGCCTCTCCTTTCTGCTGATGTACTTTTATGCTTCTCGGTGCGCAGGTGTCTCTGGCTGGGCTCCCCCGGCCAAGCGGCCGGCAGCAAGTTTTGAGAAGCAGGTGAGGTTAGCAGACCTGCCATCCCCTTGGGGGCTGGGGCAGGAGCCCAAGAGCAGAAGCTTTGAAACCACCCTCAGAATCCCCAGGGGAAGGGCTTCAGGGACACACGGACAGATGGGCACTTTGCAGGTTCCCTGCTTGTTTGTTTATTTGTACGAGAGCCGCTGAGGTAGACCAGCAGGGATTCAGCCCATCCTGGGTGGGAGGGACCTCAACCCCAGGTTTGCCAAGGGGACCCCTGCAGGCCCTGGCGTCCTAAGACCGGCTCTTTTGCTGATGGCGGCACGTAGGGGCCCTCTCCCAGGGACGTAAGCCAGCGCTCTCCCCTCGGTCCCTCAACAGGAGATGGCACGTGGAGCCCTGTCTTCGTCTTGAAGCTCTGAGGCCCACCCAACTGCCCCTTCTCCCACCTTCTGCCCTTGGGCCCCACCCCTGCTGCAGGGCGAGGTCGGGGAGGGAGATGGTGGGCCGGGCAGGGGCAGGTCACAGGTGCCTTTGCCCAGAGTGTCGTCTGGGCGACAACAGGACTTCTGCCTGGCACACCGAGCTGCGGCCAGAGGCTCTGATGGGGGCCCGACGGGCCTGCCTCTGTTCCAGCTGGAGGGTTTCTGTGAAGATGGTGGGTGAGCGGGCTGTGCGCTGAGAATGAACCACAGGGCGGGCAGCTGATCTGGGGATCCTCGTGAGGGCAGGGTGCCTTTCACGGAGGGGAAGGTCTGTGAGGTGATGAGGATCCTGGTCCAGCGGGATGACAGGTTCTCCTTCCCTGTCGGGAGTGTCTGTCGGGGTGCGGGGCGGGGCGGCGATGCTGTTGTTGTTTCACTCTGAGCTTGTTAATTTTGTAATTCTTTAACAAGGTGATTTCGGTACAGGAAGAACTCTAAAACTCAGGTCGTCAGCTAGGAAAGGTATTGGCAGTAAACACAACAGATGAGGGGAGTTAAGGTGGGGGAAATGCTGGGAGAAAATAAGGAAATTCCCCCGCCCCGAGAGCCCTCCCCCTGCCCCCCCTTCAGTCTGAAGGCTTCTTGGAGCAGCTGAGTAAAAACCCCCCTGGCACAGACGGGCCGAGGGTCCCAGTCTCTGGGCTCACAATAGGGGGGCGGATCTAAGCCCCGGGAGGTGGGTGCAGGGT